GGAACACATGGTCTGAACCTCAGTACTCCAAGCATGGTTCTGGGCTGGGCACCAGCAGCATCACCTGGGCGCTTATAGGAATGCAGAATCTCAGACCCCACCCCAGACCTAATGAGTCAGAATCTGTATTTTAACAGACCCCCAGGGGAGCTGGATGACATGATACTGTGAGAAACACTGCATTGTAACAAACACAGAGCTCCATCCTAATGCCATGCAATGGGCAGGGATGGAGAGATGGACTATGGTGGCTGCAGTGGCCTGAGAGGGCATCCCAGAAGACCCGGGGGCCCTAAAGCATGGGAGAGGAGGACACATGGAAGGCAGACAGCCCAGCACTGTGTAAGACAGGCCACTTGACAGCCCAAAGCCTCATGGCTTACAGCAGCTAGGGGAACAAATGGAGCAGGGCTGGGCAGGGGAGAGGCCCCCCAGCCTCATCATGCAGTGTCCAGACCAGGAACTGAAGCCTTGCAACGGGGAGAACGTGGAGCCCAGGCCTTTCCACCCAGGCAATATAAGGGTCCTGGCCCTCTGGCCCCATCGGGTTTCTGTGCACCTGGCATCCCAGGAACACCTCGACCCCGAGCCGGATGCCGGCCTTCGCAGCACATCCTTCACCTGCTCCAGTCTTAGCAGGTTGAGCACATCCTCATCACTGGAGAATCCCGCTGCCCACTGTGCCAGCTGACAGCACCGCCCAGGCAGCTCACCTTGGAATTCCTCTCTGCACCAAGGCGCCCTTCCCCCTCCACTAGCACCACAGGGGCTTGCAGCACCTTTTTGGCCTGGCTTTTCACACTGATAGCAGAAACGCATTCCCGGGCAACGCCCCCAGGAAGGCCCCAGAACCCCCCAGACCCAGAGCCGGCTGCTGCCTTCTTCCTCCTCACCACCTACCTGAACAGCCCCTCCCATGGTTGAAAGGGAAAGAGATGGGCGTGGCACTGAGGAAACAGAAAAGTGACTAGTCCCCCAGCAGAGCACCTTTCCTTCTCCAAGCATCTAACTCTGCCCCCGTTTTCATTTCCATCCTGCAGGCAATGGGAAGCCCAAGCCTCAGACTACAGGGCCCCAGGGAAGGCTCTGGGAGGCTAGCACCTGCCCTCCCAGGCCAGGACTCTCTTCTGGGATAGCCCAGAGTGGGGTTCACAACCTAGATGGCTTTCAACTTAGCAGTTCCACAGATGCCAGAAGTTGAATGTCATATTAAGTGTGTCTGGATACGTGTATCTTTCTGGATAGAGACTCTATAGTTTCCAGCAGGTTCTCAGTTAGTTTTCTGACGCAGATTCAGAACCACTGGCCTGAGCCAAGGTCGGAAGCGCATCTGGTCTGCTCAGAACTAAGGGAAGGGGGCAGTGAGGGCAGGGCAGTGTGGCTCACGACTGCATCACTGGTCTCTGACAGTGCACCTCACCTCCACCAGGTGACCACAGTTGGACAACTTGTGTCTGACATGGCCATAGGCAACAGGATTCCCATTTTTCTAGATGGGAAAACTGAGGCTCAGAGAAGGCTCATAACCCAAGCAGGGCCCCATAGCAGACAAAGCTGGGAAGTGATGGGAGGTGGGCAATGGCAGTGCCTGGGGCCATGGGCCAGCACAGGAAGTTAGTTTTAGGCCAACCCTGGGACCTACCAATCCACTGGCCCAGTTTCCATGATTTCGGAGCCCAGCTGTTTCTGTCCCCAAGTAAAGGACCCTCTAGGGCCCTCTGTTTCCTTCCCTTTCTCACAGCTTCAGAAGGCTCAGGCTAGGAAAGGGAAGGGAGAGAGGGATAAGCAGGGTCAAGCTTCTGCCTGCTTCCACTCTCAAGGCCAAGCTAGAGTCTGGGGCACAGGAGTAGCCCCTGAGATGACATCCCACAGAGGGACTTCCCTGCCAGCCCCCATGTCCACCCCACAGCCCCAAGATACCTGCTCAGACACCTAGATGTCACATACCCAGGACAAACCCCTGAGCCTGATGCTTGAAAGCCTGACCAGCTTCTGGGAACAAAACCTGATACATCTTCACTGGGGGTCCCCACTCCTTCTCTCTCCTCTTGGAAAATCAAGATCATACAGTTACTATTTTTTATTTGTTCCAGGTTCCCATCACCAAGCTCGGCTTCTAGGACATGCCTCAGGTGGAATGAAGGACCCACCCAGGACCAAAGAGCCCAACCAGCCTTGGACAGGAGCCTGGGGACCAATATCCTGAGGGGCTGCACGTTCTGGCCTCTTCCCTTACCAAACCCTAAATACAGGTTCAAAAGGCAAATGTGGAGTGGATGGGGAGGGGAGGCCAGACATGCTCGTGAGCCTGGAGGAGCCATGGGGGTAGCCAGGGCATGGCGTGTGTGCATCAAGGGGGTGGTGAGGAGAAACAGAGGCAGCCAAGAAAAGTCT